TGTATATCTGTCTTGGCTATTTGTATTGCATACAGAGAGATTTTGGTGTGTGCGCTACAATCCTGACCCTTCCCTTTGCCTTTAATAGTGTAATAGAAATAGTATCCATAAATAGGATCACCTGGTTAAAGTACATTTCTGCTTCTCGGTGCATTTTAATGTATGTTTCCATGTTATAACTTTGACTTTGACAGAATCCCCCAACATTGCCCATGCTGGCTGGGAAATTAAGGGAAGCGTTGTCACAAAAGGTAACTTCCAGACTCTGGTACTTCTGTGTGCAGATAGTCAAGTAACCAGCCTTCCAGCAGGGGGTTTTGGGACCCCTGATTTAATGCAACTTGCATGTATGATCTTTGGAGCAATACATAAGTAGGCACACATGAACATGGATTTCTATGGGGACTGTTCAAGACCCACTTAAAAAGGAAGCAGCTATACCTCAGTTACGTTAATGCCTTGATACTAGTCAAGACATGTGGATAAAGCCACGTACAAAACAGCATTTATTACCATTTTAGGCAGCTGAAACCCAAGAGTTTCCTGACTTGATGCACAACAGTTGCAGTGTAGTTCTTGGGTTTGCAGTCTAGACAAAATTGGCAGTATTTAAAATTTATAGCTACCTCCTGTCGCAAAAATGTGTCAGGATTCAAATTTGCATAAAGATTGTACTGTAGTGGCCTGGAATCATCTTGTTAGTGGTTATGTTTCCTTGGGCACTTGTTTGAAATTCTTTTTCAGATTGTTTGGAATCCATCACGTTTCCATCCAAACATGGCTGAGGTCCGTGGGATAACATTCCTTAGCTTCCAAACAGACAGCGATAATATTTATGATTGTGTTTGTGTGAATTCCAAGCACAGATGATACAGTTAATCTAAATACATTAAACTGAATCGTACTGCAAACATTTTAAGTTAGTGCAACGTAAAATGTGAATTTTCCATTTCTTTTTCAGAGAAATACTTTTATCTGTTATCCTTTTAGAAAAAAAAGAGGCTTTTCCTGCTTTCTAATTTTTCCTAGACAGCTACCTTCTTCTATGAAATAGGGAAGGATATTGAACAAGAGATAGTTATAATTCACCATTCCTTTGCATGCAGTCTATCATGTTGGTTGGCAACCAGAGGTCTTTTAGATAGATGAAAATTGCAGAGCTTGGGAACAAAAAAAACCCAACAGTTTTTGGGAGACTAGAATTGGCTATGTTAGCTGAGGGATTCTGGGGCTATAGTTCAAAAACGTAACTCCTCTAACCTTTGGGAAATTGTTGTTATCACACATGTACTTTCTATTGTTCACATTGAGGTTTAATCATGGAGTGTTTTGGATAAGAAATAACTGTATCCACTGTAGAAAAGAAATTCTTAAGCTCATTGTGAAAAAGGCCATCAAATGCTTATCATCAGCACCAAATTCTTCTAACAAAATCTTAGTCAATTTAAATTACAATAAAAATTTGAGAAGTTTTAATGTCAACCAGAAGTACACATGAGAGGAAAGGTCAGGCTAATAACGTGACATGTTTGGCAGTGGGTGTTACTGAACTGTCAGGAAGGAGTTTGGAGAAGAGATAGAAAAAAATTCCTTTGGGTTAATATTTCTCAACAGATGGACCTATTTGTTGCAAGACAAATTGTACTGTTTCTGAAATCACTTGCATCACTTCTTGTGGGATTCAGAAAAAAACAGATTACTGCACTTTAAACATGCTAAAAATATATACATTTGAGCATTGGACAGATAGACTTTACTCAGTGGAAAATGGTGTACACATGTATGCATTTAAATATATCCAAAATGCATTTTTTTTAAAAAGGGGGGTTGCTTGTGAGAATGAAAAAGAAAGGTTCCCAAACTGATACAAAACATGGATGTGTACAATACAGATGCACTAAAATTGAAACTGAGAATTTTCCACTTGGAAGAATCCCTTTGCTGCTAGTTTGAAGAGGCATAGAAATTCAGCTTTATTTTTTAGTTCCCTGAGCAGACTGAAAATCATAATGTTGTTGATCTCATCTATTGTTAGGGTTGACAGAAGTCACTTATTATAATTTGTTCCCCTCATTTGTTCTTACAGGATTTGCAAGTGTCTCTTATTATTTATTGACAAATGTCAGCATGCTGGACGAAGCAAAGATCACCAGCATTCAAGCAATGGTCCTTTGCCATCAACTCTGCTGGACCGGCCACATTGTCCAGATGCCCGACCACTGTCTCCCAAAGCAGTTGCTCTACTCCGAACTCAAGAGCGGGAAACAGAATGTTGGTGGGCAGGAAAAGAGATTTAAAGATGGGCTCAAAGCCAACCTTAAGAACTCTGGCATAGACACTGAGAACGGGGAAGCCCTGGCCCTTGACCACTCCAGCTGGAGGTCAGCTGTGACCAGCAGTGCCATAGAATTGGATGAGGAACGAATGGAGGGAAAAAGAGAGAAATGTGCAAAGAGGAAGGCACATCAAGCCAACTCCGACTGGGACCGCCTTCCACCTGGAAACCAATGCCCTCACTGCGGGAGAACATGCAGATCAAGAATAGTGCTCTACAGTCACCTACATACCCACTGCCAGTACACCGATCTTGGAAGACAATCCTACTCGGACAGTGAGGGATTGTCTAAGTATCTACTGTTAGGGTTGACAGAAGTCCCTTATAATTTGTGCCCCTCACTTGTTCTTACAGGATTTTCAAGTGTCTCTTATTATTTATTGGTTAACTGATTGATTGCATATGTATGGCACCTTTCTCCCAGAGTGGAACCTGCCGTACAGTTGCCATAATTCAGAAGTTACACAACAACAATGGACTATATCACATTAAGGTCAGGCGAATCCATGGGGTTCCAGTGAGGGGCATGGAGAACCCATTGCCCCATATCATCCGACTTACCACTGGCCACATTTACAGTAAGATGCATCCACCACGCAGCTTCCCCCCATTTTTGCAAAGGCAAATTAGGAAGCTTCCCATATTGCTGTTGTGGCGGAGTACACTGCTTGCTCTCCCGTTTTGCCATTTAGCCCCACTAGAAGTAGATGTACATTGTGTAATGGGCTCCATGTCAAAAGGGGAGAACAAGCAGCACGCAGCGGGCAAATTAGCCTGTATGATGAGGTTGAATGTCATAATTCTCCTTCCTGCACAGGAGTTTAGCACAAGTAAATAGGATATATCAGTGTTCTTCTCTGGCTGCTATCATCAAATAGTGAATATTTGAAGATTTTAACTATAGGCTTTTCTGCCTTTGAACCCAGCTTTGAATAGCACAGCTAAAGAAAAAGTGACATTCAGTTTAATCCTATATTGCAGCTGGAAGTAAGATTAATTCTGCCTCATGAATAAGGATTTGGAGACTGAGAAGAGATTGTGTCATTAGACATTTTAAATGACTTCCCTTTCCTCTGTTAGAAGAAAAAAGTGTATATGTGTGTGTTTATGTGTGGGATCCATGTATGCTCCTTGAAACTGTCTTTCTTCCTTTGCCATTCCCTCACACATCTGATATTGGTTTCTTGGTAAGATTTGCTCAGAGAGTGTTTGCTTTTGTCTTCCTATGAAGATGAGAGAATGTCATTTGCCCTAGGTCACCTTTTAGGTAGTGCTAAATACAGGCTATCAAGATTTGTGATTGTAATATAAAGCCCTGAACAGTTCTGGCCCAGCTTACCTGACTGAATGTTACTCCTGCTATGAATCATCGTGAAGTCTAAGATCAACAGGAGAGGCCCTGCTCTCGGTCCCACCATCCTCGCAAACCTGACTAGTGGAGACGAGAGACAGGGTATTCTCAGTGGTAGCCCCTTTGCTCGTGGAACTCTCTACCCATTGACATTAAATTGTCCCCCTTCCTCTTATCAGTTAGAATGAAACTCAAAACCTGGCTATGGGACCAAGCATTTGAACAGTAGAAACAGCAATTTAGAATGAGACCCAATTTGTGTGAATGACAATGGACTGACCGGGACTATGATTTTGAACTTGCGTGATTTAAACAATGTTTTAGTAATTTTAAAGCATTAACAAACTGTTTTATTTACTTTTATCATTTATTACTGTTGTTGGCATTGAATTAATGCCTGTTGTGAAGCCACCCTGAGTCTCCCTCTAGGAGTGAAAAGGACGGGATATAAATATGTGAAATAAATAATAAATAAACATCAGGGTGTTTTGAAAAGGAGGCTAATCTTCATGGTTTCTGGTGACTCATTACTGGTAGAAATTTACAGAATCATTAGTCCAAGGGGATGTCAGAAGGTAAGAGGTCAGGAGTAAAGCGACAAAAGATTCCAGAGAGATAAACAGCCAGACCCAGCAACACAAGAACTCCCAGTGACAAAATCAGTGGTGGCCAGTGGCTTGTATGGCAACAGGGTAGTGGATTCATTCCAGGTCTCAATCTAAACTTGAAATGGGTTATCTAAGGGGCTGAACCTATTTAGGGGTAGAGTTTAACAACATGCATATTCTACATTAAGAAAATACCCCATATACTCATGTGTAAGTATAGAAATTTAAGCACCCCCCCCCCCCCAATTGGGTTGACTTATCCATGGGCCAATAAGAGTGCTGATCCTTAACACATCCAAAAAAGGAACCATCCTCTTATTTGAGTAGAGTGACAAAAGAAATGAGCTTAGTTTGTTCTAGGAGAACCTAAAAGAAGCGTAAACCCCCTCATCTCTTTTTATCATGGCACTGCTTCTGGCCTTTTTTGAATGCCTGCTTGGCCCTCTCCATGGAATAACCCTCAACCTATCCATAAGCCATAATAAATTTGATCTCAAAACCTGCCCATGAGGTATACATTAGGTTGACTTATACATAAGTAGATACAGTAGATTAACCATTCCATTGACAATAGAGCCACTAGGCTCAACTCCATCTCCTCCACCAACACATTACTAATTCTCTATGACAAAAAATAAATGTATACTCACACTTCTTACATTTTTAGTAAACCAAAGTGCCTTCTTCAGCTTTTAACATATCCTACCTTTCTTTTGCGTAGTATGACTTGACCCTCTGGAGGTTGCTGTGTGGCTTCTTTATTTCCAAACTCAGACAAACTTTCTGCACGTGTGATACATTCATTCTGGGAGCTTGCAAAGCCATTTTCATCTAAACCATTTTTCTCTGACAGGGAACAAGAACAATCACTGGAATCTCTAGTAATATCAATACTGTCACTTGTCTGAGCAGAAAAAGGCTCATCAGGTAAAAGTCTTTTTCCATTTTTTTCCATCTCAGCATTAGGAGCATCTGAGTTTTTGAACTGTTGAGCAGCAACAACAACATGATCCACTGCCATCTCTTCAGGCACATATATCTCCACATTTGGAAGATCACATCCATTTTCCCCCAAGGTGTCTTTGTTTTTAAAGGAGTTATTGTAATGATATTCCAGACTTTCTTCTCTGCTATTGTATATGGTCTCCTCTTCTTCCACTGTTTTGGAATATGTCTCATAATTAAGTTCATCTATTTTCTGATTTGGTCCAGAGGTGTGATAGGATTCTTTCCTTGCTTCCACTTTTGGGTGGAAGGACTCGGCTTTGTCATCTTTTACACTGTCCCTTCCAGTTGACAATTCCTCCTCAACCTGAGCAAACGTGTGTTGGACTTTCTCTGTAGTGAGACCGACCTCAGTGTCATTCTCATCATTGCCATCATCGTCATCGTAATCACTCCCAATGGAAAGATTGACCAAAGTTTCTGTGCTAGCTTCTAGAGACAGAAATTCTTCTTCCCCTTGATGATTATCATTCTCATCAACCTCCTTGGACACATTACCGAGCAGCTTTGAGGGCGAACCTATCAGCTCTCCACCATGACAACAATCAGGCAAGGAAGCACTTTTCTCTTTCCAGCCTTCACTTTGGAGTCCATTCTTTTCCATCCTTTCTTGCAAGTTGTCAGCTACTAGGCCATGCCTGCACAATATATTAGAATCAATAGAACCAAAAGGTGAAGTCCTCCATTGGGTCACATGCTCCTCCCAGCTTCTTTTTCTTATTGCTAGAGACATGTCATAGTACGTTAGCACCCGGTCCCAAAATTGAATATGACCAGGATCAGAAGAAACATCATGGCTTCGGCAAGCTTCTCCGCAGATAGTTTTACCTCTTGCATATCTGTTAATTTTGTTTTAAAAAAGAAGAATTAATTGGTGGTTTCAGTATTAAAAAATAGTACATATGAAAATAATATTTTCCAAACTAACAATGTATATGATTTAGAAAGACTTTAAAAAGATGTTTTGCAATGGGTTTCAAACAAAGACAGAAGCTATAATTTAGTTTAGCCTCTTTGCTGATTACTCCCCCAAAGGAAATAAACAGAATGTTATAAACAACTCCATGGGAACACAAGAGGCTCCACAAGCCAACATTTGACAATGAGTCTCTCTTCAGTTCCTCTGTCATAAGACAGCTATTTCCATGGGTTTCAAAGCCACCGAGTCCTGTGAGTCTTTGTACAGAACACAACTCTGCATTTCCTATTTGTGAAAACAAGCAAGCATAGCATTATTGTCTAGAGAAGCTGCTTTTAAAATGACCGTGTTTTGAACTATTCATATATTCTAAATTCTTCACTGATTTTGTTATGTTGCCTGAACATGTTGAAAACCATTATGTTTTGTAATCCCTTTGTTTAAAAAAGAAAACTTTGAGTTGGTTTTTATTTTTCTAGATCTTACTATCATGGTAGCAAATGGAGTGGCACATTTTATTGAGTGGGTGATATTTTTACTGTGGGTACTGGAGCCTTTTAGACAGAGTTCAATTGCACCACCTGAATTTACTATTATCCCTGCAAAGTTGCTTAATTGTGAATTATATTTCCATTTGTTATGTTCTAGAACAATGATGGGTAACCTTTTGAGCTTGGTGTGTCAATACTCGCCAAAAAACCGAGCTTAACTCGAGTGAGGTGTCACTTCGAGAAAAAAACAAACCATAATTTCATGATATTTATAGTTTAATAACAAAAATATATTATTGTTATATATAACTGTATTTAATAAACCAAAAGCTAATTATTTAACTTATCTGCTTTTTCTATAATGTCATATATCTCGGCATTATAGAAAAATGCTGGTGTAGGAGCTGAGGATGAAATATCCTTCTTGGGATGCGCCCCCATCTCCTCTGTATGCGGCAGCATGCGGCTGTGTGTCATCAAAAATGGCTACGCGTGTCAGTGCTGACACACGTGTCATAGGTTCGCCATCATGGTTCTAGAAGCATTCACATACATAAACAATGCTTGGAAAATAAAGTTTAAAAGTTATTACTTAAAGCTGTAGTTCCAAAAACCAAAAAGAGACCACTTAAACCTATACTTATGCCATCTTAGCACTACATTTCAAAATCAGGAAATTCTCTAGCCGACTACTCATGTCTCTAGACCCATCAACATTGCCATATAATGCAGCTTCATAATACAGTTTAACTGCATTGAACATCATTATACGGCAGTGTAGATGGGGCCTATGCTACTTGTATCACTATAAAAAGGTGATTATATAGCTATGTATTTTGAATTTCTGGCTACAACCACTGTCACATGAAAGAAGTCTGTTGGTACTTATAGGAAGAAAGCCACTTCTTTTGCAAAGTCTTGCCCAGCATGCGATTCTTTCCTTTGCTTATCTTTCTGAGGCTCCTCTATGATAAGAAAACTTGTGCCAAGTATCTGAATCATTAGAACAAGCTGCTGTACAGAATCTCCCAAGATGACCTTATAATGGAATTTATGGCATTTGCTATCATTCAAGATCATGTAAGCAACGAGAACAAGAAACACAACATTCCACAATCTTCTTGAGACAGCTACTGCTTTGCAATTATAATGTGCACAAGAAATAAATATTTCAAATAGTCTAGAGTTCCTAAGCAAAGACATTTGACTTCAGTATAACTGTGAGAGAGGAGAGAAATGAGACCATTGCCCACACCGTCATAATAATTTTGTCCACATTGATGTTGTTCATTTGTTCAGTCGTTTCCGACTCTTCGTGACCTCATGGACCAGCCCACGCCAGAGCTCCCTGTCGGCCATCACCACCCCCAGCTCCTTCAAGGTCAATCCAGTCACTTCAAGGATGCCATCCATCCATCTTGCCCTTGGTCGGCCCCTCTTTTTCCTTCCATTTTCCCCAGCATCATTGTCTTCTCTAAGATTTCCTATCTTCTCATGATGTGTCCAAAGTACTTCATCTTTCCCTCTGCTATCCTTCCCTCCAATGAGCAGTCAGACTTTATTTCCTGAAGTATGGACTGGTTGGATCTTCTCACTGTCCAAGGCACTCTCAGAACTTTCCTCCAACACCACAGTTCAAAAGCATCTATCTTCCTTCGCTCAGCCTTCCCTAAGGTCCAGCTTTCACATCCATAGGTGACTATGGGGAATAACATTGCTTTGACTATGCGGATCTTTGTTGCCAGTGTGATGTCTCTATTCTTCACTATTTTATCAAGATTGGACATTGCTCTCCTCCCAAGAAGTAAATGTCTCCTGATTTCCTGGCTGCAGTCTGCGTCTGCAGTAATCTTTGAACCTAGAAATACAAAGTCTGTCACTACCTCCATGTTTTCTCCCTCTATTCCCCAGTTGTCAATCATTCTTGTTGCAATAATCTTGGTTTTTTATGTTTAACTGCTACCCTGCTTTTTCACTTTCTTCTTTCACCTTGATTAGAAGGCTCCTCAGCTCCTCCTTGCTTTCGGCCATCAAAGTGGTGTCATCTGCATATCTAAGGTTGTTAATGTTTTTTCCAGCAATTTTTACCCCAGCCTTGCATTCGTCAAGCCCCACACATTGCATGATGTGTTCTGCATACAAGTTGAATAGGTTGGGTGAGAGTATACAATCCACATTGTCCACATTGATTCCATTAACGTAAAAAATGCAGCAGAGACTTTAGAAATATAGTTTAGATAAACTAGAGAAATTGACAAAGTTTCCAAGGTAATGTGAAAACACTGGAAATTTGAGTTCCAAAAGCAAATGCTTTTCTATATCTCACTCTCTGAAAAGCTAGAAATGTGGACACTTGAAGGAAAATTTAACGAGGCAGTGTAGGATTCTAATATGAAGGCAATGTCCTCATTTTGTCCCTTCTCAATAGCTTTGATTCTGTGTAACCTTCTTAATCTCAGGGAGTCCAAAATGATTAGGGCATTTGCCTGTGGCCTAGAAACCTTAAAAACATCCATTTATTTATTTTTCATGACTGCTGGGATACAGAGGCATGGAAAGGTCCATGTTTCTCAGGAAGAATCAGGTTTAAAGTGCACCCTTTAAATACGTGTTTTCCAGCCTTCATTTGATTCCTTCCCTCCCGTACATTGGCTAAATGTTGTTTAGTCACACCCTCCCCCCCTTAACTCTTCTTGGAATTTAATGCATGTGTGGTCAATCTATCTTGGAGGACCTACATATGCCCAGAGAAGTGTTCTCTCTAGAAATCACTATGTCCTCCAACATGACTCTGTGATTACAATCTTTGTTACAGTAAGTCGTAGCAGTATCAAGTGAGTGTTAAAGAAAAACCTTATGATGTTGATTAGTATGTGCAGCTGATAATGTAGGTCAGCCAGTATATTTGGGCCACACCCGGTGGGGTATAACTGTATGGATTCTGGAATAAAGTTTGGAGAAGCAATATGTTACTCTGAGGAAGATAAGCAATATGCTGTAATGCTCTTCGCTATGGTGGAATAGCTATTTGCTCAAGGTTTATGTTTTGCTCTGTCATTTGAATGAAGATGAAGAAGCCTTATTCTGTGTTACTTACAAGGACTATGTAAGTTTGTTCCACTGTTTGATTTTGTACGCAACACTGCAAGTTTTGCCTCTGCTGATAAGAGTAAAGCTATTTCTGTTCCTTTTTCCTCTTGCCTCTGTGTCTTTTGCATGGGACTTGGTTAAAATTTGCTTCTTCGCAACAAGATTGACTGCAGAGTCATGATGGAGGACCTAAAGAGAAGATATTAATCAAAGCCACAGATAGGGGGATGGACTGGATGGCCCATGAGGTCTCTATGATTCTATAATCCATTCTACAAAAGTTTAATAATAATAATAATAATAATAATAATAATAATAATAATAATAATATAATATTTTATTTGTACCCCGCTACCATATCCCCAAGGGACTTGGTGCGGCTTACATGAGGCCGAGCCCAAATACAACAATACGCACAATAAACAACAATACAAGCAATTAAAATTAAAAAAAACATAAGCAATAATATAAACCCTCAAACGTGGCGGGTAACTGTATAAAAGTTTTAAAAGCACTAAATAGTGCCTTCAATTGAAAAACTATTTAAACATTAACATTTAAAACAATTCAAACACTTAATGTGCAAGTGTGTAACTTTCCCCTCCTTGGCAAGCTTGTACTGTGGCACAGGTGATTTTGCAGAACACTCCATCTAGAAAAGAAGCCTCTGGTGTCCTCTCCAAGCTTAATAACTGAACATCCCATTGATTCTTTGCAGAAACAGGTTGGTTTCCTTTAGTTGCTGGCACAGCCCCGCACAGAGCCCTATTCTCACATGGCTTCCATTGATAGGTGGAGAACGGCAGTGGCACAATGGGGCTGTTGTGGCACCATGGCAAGAGTTTGGGCTCCCCCTAATGAATGTTCTAGAGAAGGCTGATGTACAGCAATGCAATAGATGTTGGATTATAGCCATTTATTCTGTTGCATATTAAACTCAGAGACCAAAGCAAACAAAAAGGACTACCTGGGAAGGGAAAAGGCCCATTATTAATCAACAGCAACATCAGAAAAAGAAAATGTTCTGAATTGTAACATATCTCAACTTCAAGGAACAGCTACTTCTCCTTTCTGACTGCCTGCATAGGAAACTGTCAACACTTAGCATGGATCTGCTTATTGATTTCAGCAATAAAGAAGATTAACTACTGAGTTTGTTCTGGGTCATTTCAGTCTACCAAGGGAAGCTCCAATTGCACACACAGACCACAAGGCTGTCCTGGCAAATCACTAGACCGAAGGTATAAAAGCAGGCAGCCTGGAAGAATCGCAAAATTATGACCCTGCAACTAATCCTCTGTAAATCACACTTTGACAAAGTGACTTTCACAATGGAGTG